TAAAATAATGTTATCGTTCATAACCCAAATACCAGTTGGTTTGGTTAAATTGTATGCGCGATATGCTGATACCTAGAGACAACGGAGCACTGCTCGAGAAGACATTTTTTAAGAGGCCATTGAATTTCAAAATGGCTGTCATTTTCAGACAACGGAGCACTGCTCCAGAAGACATTTTTCAAGAGGCCATTGAATTTCAAAATGGCTGCCATTTTCAGAAAAACATAATCTTCAAATACCAGCGGACTGATTTGACTCAAGCTGATTCCTAGGGAAAGAGGAGTTCTGTTCAAGCAATTTTTTTCAAGATGGGGGCTATTTATCAAAACATGTTTTGTTCGGTGGGATTTACTACTCCGTGGAGTGGCTGTTTTCTAGTTACTTAAATAGAATCAGGACCAGCTTTGTCAGTCTTTAGTGCCAATAAAATGTTAAAATCTTCAGCATTTTCCGTTGAAAGAAGATCCAAGAAGGTATCAATTCTATGACCCATTTAAATATGGTATAATATTGGTTATTTCCATTCTGGTCATTATTTACTCAAAATTGTATTTCCATATGGATTTATTAAAAAGGGTTTTCATCAAACATTAAATGTCATTACTGTCAGTACTGCGTCAACCCCGAAAGACTTTCTCGGGGGACAGATTTTTTAGACCCAGTGCCCAAAATTCCCGGGATTTTGCGGGACATCCACCTGAATTTGTCAAATTTCGCGGGACATTTATGGGATTTGCGTGATTGCGCTAATAGGCCAAATTATGATCGAAGGTCCATGTGCAGTATGCCAAGTGATTTTAGGCAGTCATATCTTTCACCATGAGTATTTTCTGGGTTTAAATACAGTGGTTTTTATTAAAATAATATGTTTTCTTCAAAGCGAAGTCCCCATGATACATGTAGTAAAATACCAATCCAACTCTCTGAAAAATTATGGATTAGGACCCCAGTTTGTCACTTTTTTAAAAATGTGAGGCTTATTTTCTAAAAAGAGGATCTGTTTTTCTCAATTTAAACGTACCAAAAGTTTCTTCTCCACTATATTAATAACTTCTGAAAAGGGCATGGGTATTGAAATGCAATAAAGTTAAAAACCACATTTCCCATGTTATTTTCCCTTATATTAGGTAAAAATCATGCTATCCATTGTTTTCAGCATGATTTTGGTCATCGAAGATTGATATCTTCAAAACTAGACTTTGAATACCATTCTACTTTTGAAGATGTTTTAGACCCCTTGTTGAATAATGTTTTCATGCAATAAAAATAAGAAAAAGAAGATCCTCTTTTGAGCAAATAAGTTCAACATTTTGAAAAAATTGTTGACGTGGGGTCCCTATTTACAATTTCTCGAATTGTTCAATTGATATTTTTATCATCATGGGGACTTCACTTGAAAGATAAACAAACACGCTAAATGCGGGACAGTTAACAGGGTAACCACCAAAGACTTCATCGAGGGACAGATTTTTAAGACAAAGTACACTAAATTCGCGGGATGTCGGGGGACATTCAAGGGATTTGCGCGATTGGGACTTAATGTAAAAGTACTCAAACCAACTTTCAGATACTGATGATTAATCAAATATAATGCACTTAACTTAAACACGGTGTTAAATAAACGTCAACACAATCTCACACAATATGCATAGGAATATTATTACGTAGTTTCCGTTATATCTTCACATATCGTTGACATTAACATAAACTTCAGGAAAAATGAAAGCACTGAGGAAGAGTAAGTAATGCATACAGGTTTTAATAATAAATTAGTGTTTACCAAATTCAGTGTAATGCGTACAACTTTTGTAATACTTTATTAGGAGGTCAAAGCCGACATTGAGGGACATTGCGGGACATGCGAATTAGCCTAATTTTGATCAAATTCGCGGAATAATCCCGCCATTTGCGGGACACTTGACAGCTCTAAAATGATGTTGGATTTAGAGGTTATGTCACTATCGTGGCATATATGCCCGAGGTCTCAGTGATATATGGCCCGACCTTGGGAGGGACATTGATCTCTGAGAACCGAGGGCATATGTGCCACGATAGTGACATAAACGATTTATAACATACCTATGATGATGTAGACTGGTCAGAGAGTACTGTTTTCTTATAGAATTGACAAACAAATGGTTTGAAAATGTTTGAAATGAGTTTTGAAAAATTGCTCGCGCATTTTTATCTTCGATTGATTGGTTATGACATCATCGCCTTGACCAATCAGAAAGTTAGCGGGCGCGGGCTTTTCAAAACTTATATTGACCCGCTGTCTTGTGTACACTTTGCACTATACATCATCGTAGGTATGTTATAATGCTTTGTATTTACCATTCTTCTTGCATTATATGGTGCAAAATTAAAATATTGGCTCTCTTTGAAATTGTGCTATTGAATAGTTTCCAATATAAGGTTTACACTTAGAGATTGCTTTTCTTTCTGGGCTTCTTTAAGGTTTTTAGTAACTTCCCTAATTTGATGATTATACTTAGATATTTAGCATTACAGGATTATATTCCATTTGAAGGTTGAATAATAATCATGCTTGATAAAACGCATTATTAGTTATAAAAATGTTATTTTGTGTGAAATTTGTGCAATGAAAAATGGGGTATGGGAACTTTATTAAGACAATTATATTGACCTAACATCCTTCCATTGTGGCCAATAGGGTTTATTGTGCCAGTAATTTCATCCTTATTCTCCATATATCATATGTGGCAAATTTAGATATAATATGATAATCATTGCTACATCTAAACAATATCATGTTTGCAACTTAAAATCTTGAAAAAGTTGAAAAATACTCCAAAATAGCGAAAAAATGGGAAAAGTAAAAAGCACGTAAAATCTTGAATTCTCAAAATCCCAGTTATTTTATTGCAGATTATGAAGGCCCTAATTCTCCTCTTTCCAACAGTATAATAATCACTGTACATGGGACATCTGGCTTTTCTGGCAAATTGGATCCAAAGATGGTTGCCATTTCGTCTCTATATTGACCCTCATGTTTACAACTAAAATCACGAAAACCTTGAAGAAATGGCCGAAAACATCGAAAAAAAAGTTAAAAGTAAAATGCTTGTAAAATCTTGAAAACCCAAAAACCCAGTTATTTTATTGCAGATTATGAAAGCTCTAATGCTCCTCTTCCCAACAGTAATACCCACTCTACATGGGACATCTGGCTTATTAAACAAACTGGGTCCAAAGATGGCTGCCATTTCGTCTCTTAATTGACCCATGTTCCAGAAAAGGCTCCGTAACCATGGCAACCATTGTGACGTCATAATAAACAATACATATGAACTCTTCAACATGTCCCATATACAAATCAAATAGTTATTAACTGGTTTTGGATCATCTTCTTAGCATACCATAAGCTGGAAATATATCTTTTTTCACTGATTTTGGTGCATTTTCTAGGTTGTAAAAATACAACAAACATGGGTTGCTTAGCAACAGTCTCATACACTAACCAATCATCTGTGAGAAAAATGAATGACATATTTTGGCTTCCCAATAGTCATACTTTCATATAAGATTGAAATTTTTGAAATATAAAATTTGACCTGTGCCACCTCCTGCCCCCTTTTTACAAATAGTGCCTTAAAAGTCTTCTTGAAGGACTTGGCTATTTGTTTGGTGATTTCTTGGGTCAACCGGACAAAAAAGTGATGTGTCATCCGCATAGATAAAGCATTTTGAGTTTAAGTCGTCTGTTATATCATTTAGATATGACAAAAAGAAAATCGGTCCCCCATATTGAGCCTTCGGGGACTCCAGAGTTGATTTTACTTGACCTAGACCTAGACCTTGATCTTGATTTTAATTGTTCTGTTTGTGAGATAAGATTGAAAAGGGTCAATTAGTGATTTTGGGACACCGTAGGATTTTAGTTTCTGAAGAAGGAGTACATGAGTGACTTTGTCGAAGGCTGATTGAATGTCCAAAAATATTGCTCTAACATTGAGACCATTTTCTTATAGCAGTTAGTTGAAGTTGAGTGTTGTGTTCTTTAAGAAATCCAGATTGCATTTCATAAATTAGGTTATTTGATGTCTAGTGGGTCATCAGTTTACAATTTACCTTTTTTTCAAAAAGTTTAGACATTGTACAAAGTAAAGTTACAGGCCGATAATTTTTTTATCAGAGATTTATCATATTTTTTATGGATAGGACAAACAACTCCTTCTTTAAGTGGTGTTCATTTAAAACATGTATGAACTGAATTTTGACCCCATGAGCATCGCACAGACACTTTAAATCATCTCCAGTCAACTGCTCACAAAACTGTCCAGAGTAATATATACGCTCCTTTATATGTTATTTCGAAGGATCATGAATCACATCAAAGTGTTTATTTAGCGCCAATAGCTATATTTAAATTTAAATCTTATTTAAATAATCATAAAGAGTTTTATTTCACAATGGTATGTTCCAGGGTATGTTTAGACGAATTTTAGGTCTCTCTACCTCATCATTCGAGAAAACACGAAACCAGGTTTAAATTAAAATTTTGTTACTAAAACAATCGAAAGTTCAGAAATCTATGTTATTGGCTGTTTTTGTTTGACTCCAGTCCATGCAACGCAGTTATGAAGATTTAATGTAAAATTGCCTCTTTTATTCTTAAAGGACAATTCTCTGTTTGGAGAAAGACGTTCATCAAACTATGCCTGCTTTAGACAATTATGATATTTATACATAGTGTAGATTAAATGTCCCACTTTGAATGTCCATAATTTAATTTGAGTGGTATTTCTATATTTCTTCAAAAACAATAATTAGCGCACTACACTATGTACTGAAAAAGTTAACACTGAAAAACATAATCAATTATTCATTTTCAATTGTTGATTTTGCTCTGCCAGCTATAACTTTTGCAATCAACATCATGTAAATATGAAAACATATCAAACCATGATGAATTCAAAATTAAAAAATGTCCTAAGTTCGCCATGAATTACCCCCTGTTAAAAGTTGCTAGGCCCTACCTATTTTAGCCATCCTCTTCTATAAGTTACATTAAGCCACCATTCGAAGCAGCAACACCGTTTGGTTTTAGTTATCTTGCAATGGTGATTTTAGAAGTGTCTTAAATGCTAACAAATCGCTATGTAATGCCTTGGTCATATTTGCTTTATTTTGTTCAAAATTGAATACAATATTGAACAAAACACTCAATCAGCCGGGTGCCGGCCGATGGATCGGAGCAAATGTGACCAAGGCATTAATTACCAAGATAGTGTTGCAACACTACCATACAAACCAAATAGTGCCAGAATCACCAATAATGAATCAAAACAATCAAATCTTATTTAACCTTTACACCAATAAATGTGATAATAAATTACGTATACGTTATTAATTAGATAAGGCAATTTGCAACTTAATCATCATTGACATTATGACATATTGTAACTCACAGAATCTGTAACTCAAAGAATCAACCACGTATTATATGTAAATTTCAATGCATAAGCCAAAGTGGTTAAACTTTTCCTGGAGCCTTACTATTACGTTAACATTACTTTTCAAGCTATAATGATCACAGGTTTAGGTCCATCCCATGTATTACGTTAGTTACATACTAAATGAACTAAATTTACTTGATGATGAACTACAACTACAACATTTTACATTATCAATAGCATTATATTACGTAAACTTACATTTTCTCTTGCAATTGAAATTATTGCAAGTAGGTTTCCAAATACTCCCAATATGGAAAATGTTACAGCAAAGAATATGTAAACTGCAAACTTTCCCGGGGAATGTTCTGCATAAGGAGGGTAAGTCCATTGAAAACTCTGACCAGATGCATTCGTTGTATTGACTCCGACCGATGACACTAGTTGAAACTCCATGTTTCCTTCTTGTTAGTTTTGTGTATAAATGACCTACCCACGTGACATTATATTACTAGACTAGACTAGACTAGACTTGTGGTGAACCATTTCCCACACTATATTTAAGTCGTAAATTTGCAATTCACAAGCGTTACAGTAAAAGGCAAAACAATTTATTATGTATGGTTATGCATGCAAACAATTATTTTAGTTGATACACATTTCCCATTTTGTATCAGTAATAGTGGGTTGACTCGAGAATATGATGAATCCATAGCATAATACACACCCTCCATTTATAACCCAATCCGCGGTAATGAGCTTATTGACATTCACGAAATATAATTGATCATTTCAGTAAAACATGGTGACCTAACCCTGCCGAAAAGGTGATAATGTTCCAAAGCTATTTCCGAGCGCGATACAACACCCAATCTCTGAAGGAATCTATTTAAATCTGATACGGTTCAAATACATTAAGAAATGCTTTGCAACTATTAATATCGAAATTAATACGATTAAAATAACAAATCCAACTACTAAACAAAAATTCATTAAAATGATTAAAGCGAAAGAAATTCGAAATATCTTCTGGTCAAAACCCATGATGTAATAACAAAATGTGAACTTATATTACATTCAAATGTTTTCTGTACGTTTTCTGTTTTCTGCGTCCAGCCCTAAGGGGTGTATTCGACGATATTACCCAAGCTCTGAGGTCTATATTACGATTCGAATATGAAAACTCACCAAAATGTTTCGACTATTCGTTGACTTAGTTCACAGTTTATAGAAGGCGTGAATACAGTCATGTTCGAATGTTCAATTAGCACTCTATGAAACACTTGGTATGAAGATATACACTGTATGGTATGGACGATTGAGTTAAATTGTTCAATTAAACACTTGGTTTGAATCATCAACTGCATGGTTTAGGCGATTGTGTTGTATTGTTCAATTATCAAACACTTGGTTTGAAGCATACACTGCATGGTATAGGTGACTTTGTGGTATTGTTCGATTTGCAAACACTTGGTTTGAAGCATACACTGCGTGGTATAGGCGATTGTGTTGTATTGTTCGATTATCAAACACTTGTTATGACGATATACACTGTAGTGAATAGGAAATTGAGTTAAAATGTTCAATTATCACTCTATCAAACACTTGGTATGAAGCGTACATTAAATGGCCGGTATAGGCGATTGCATTGTTCAATCATCAAACATTTGGAATGAAGATATACACTACATGGTATAGGCGATCGTGTTGAATTGTTCGATTATCAAACATTTGGTATGAAGATATTCATTGTAATAAAGGAGATTATGTTGAATTGTTCAACTATCAAACACTTGGCATGAAGCATACACTGTATGGTACAGTCGACTGTGTTGTATTGTTCAATTATCACTCGGTTTGAAGCATACAATGGAGAGGTTAAGCAAATACGGTTTTTCAAAACGTATACGTAAACGCAAAGTACATTGAATCAACATAGGATTGTATCGCTTTAGTCTACTTCAGATACCCGTTCAACTTCAAAGTTGCGTGTTTAGAACGGGAGATTTTAAAATTTCACGTTGCTATCAACGGGAATCATTATACTCATGTCTGTTGAATACTATCCTTGCAATTTTGATTTCGATGCAGAGTATGATTCTTTCTGAAGAAGATGATGTATGTTACGCATGATTTAACTCCAATAATCTTACGAAACGAGCTCGTTTAAAATATGTATTAGAAAACCAGCTATTGAACTTCATCAATGGGATACTATGTAATCATTACAAGCTATGGTGTAGTCTAAACAAACACTAGAGCTGAACGGCTATTTTTGTGTGAACTCTACATGTATTTGTATAGGGCCGATTGATACGTTTAAGTTGCGTTTTGGATTTTATACGGTAGCTTAACCTCTCCAGTGTATGGTACAGTCGACTGTGTTGTATTGTTCAATTATCACTCGGTTTGAAGCATACACTGTATGGTACAATCGACTGTGTTGTATTGTTCAAGTATCACTCGGTTTGAAGCATACACTGTATGGTACAGTCGACTGTGTTGTATTGTTCAATTATCACTCGGTTTGAAGCATACACTGTATGGAACAATCGACTGTGTTGTATTGTTCAATTATCACTCGGTTTGAAGCATACACTGTATGGTACAGTCGACTGTGTTGTATTGTTCAATTATCACTCGGTTTGAAGCATACACTGTATGGTACAGTCGACTGTGTTGTATTGTTCAATTATCACTCGGTTTGAAGCATACACTGTATGGTACAGTCGACTGTGTTGTATTGTTCAATTATCACTCGGTTTGAAGCATACACTGTATGGTACAGTCGACTGTGTTGTATTGTTCAATTATCACTCGGTTTGAAGCATACACTGTATGGTACAGTCGACTGTGTTGTATTGTTCAATTATCACTCGGTTTGAAGCATACACTGTATGGTACAGTCGACTGTGTTGTATTGTTCAATTATCACTCGGTTTGAAGCATACACTGTATGGTATAGGCGATTGTGTTGCATGATGGAGTTGAGGTCGCATCACTGGTTCACTTGCTCCCTCAGGCAATCTCACTTCAAACTTCTGCATCAAACCCACAAAGAAAATAAAAAGCTCCATCTTAGCGAGGGATTCACCAAGGCATTGTCTTTTACCTGAAAATTAAGTAGCCAATTACAAATAACCGATTCATTTTTCAATTATTTCGATATATCTAAAAAAAAGTTGCCACTGCATTTTTGCGAAACGCACTCCCAACTCGCCTCTACTAGTATCCCTTTTAAAAATTAATATCCCTGTAACTCCGTCTAGTCTCATCAACCACCATCTAAACTTACCAACTGAAAAAACTGCTAAATGATCATCTCGTTTAACTTTCCCATCATCCCCTAGGAATCTCTCTGGTCTGAAGACTTCTGGATCTCCCCAATGTGCAGGGTCATTATGGATTGCATACAGATTGGCTCCAATTAAGGTGTTTGGTGGAAGGGTGTATCCCTTTTAATATAATACAAAATTCAATCTGTGATTATTATGTGGTTTTGGGCTGCGTTATTGAAATACCCGCAGCCCGAGTCATTTGCGTAATGGGAAAATGAGATTGCAGCCGAAATTGTATTTCAAGAATAACACTCATACAATAAATCATGGCCAATTTAGAGCCAGCCAGTGGCTGTCTAATTAAACTCCACTTCGAAAATCCAACATATCCATTTAAGTTCATTTATTTTAAGATGTTCAATATAATTTTAAGATGTTCAAATAATATGCATATATACCTTTAATTGTGTAATCTGTTTAGTTTGGTGCAGAATCATGAGAGTGGCTATACCATAACTTATCTGAACCTCTAGGATTGTCGCCTCTGTATAAGGCAGCTGTAGTTTGTCTGTCATAGAAGGAGACTTATCTGAGCCTATTTGACTGAGAATCTCAGCGCGCACTTTCTTTTGTACCTCTGGGTATTTTAGCATGCACAGCAGTATCCATCTAAACATGAAATAATTTGAAATTATGATCGAAAACAATTTCGCAAAGGACGGTGAGCCAATTGGCATATCATTATCTTTCATTTATATACAATTTAATAAAATGACAATATCTCCAGTTTTATATCGTATCTTTACACCAATTTTTGACAATTTTTTGAAATGTGATAATATTTTCTTAGAATTTGTATTTCAGTGATAAAGTTTAAAAAAGGGTCCCAGGGTACAGGTAATTTGCAGTTTAACCCTTAAACGCTCTTATATTCCAGTCACCAAGCTTACTGTCTTTCCTCGTATATTCATGTCGGGAAAGGGTTGATCTAAACAGTCCTTGAAAATAAAACGTTTCTTTTTATATGTATTTCCTTGGAATATATACAATCATTTATATACAATTTAATAAAATTACAATATCTACAGTTCTATATCGTATCTTTACACCGATTTTTGACAATTTTTTAAATTGTGATAATATTTTCTTAGAATTTGTATTTCAGTAATAACGTTTAAAGAAGGGGTCCCAGGGTACAGGTAATTTGCAGTTTAACCCTTAAACGCTCTTATATTCCCATCACCAAGCTTACTGTCTTTCCTCGTATATTCATGTCGGGAAAGGGTTGATCTAAAGAGTCCTTGAAAATAAAACTTTTCTTTTTATATGTATTTCCTTGGAATATTTTCTAATATATTCACTCCTATCACATGTTATAGTTGAGTTAAGTTAAGTTTAATTTGGTTTAGTTTGTTTTGTTTTATTGTTATTTACAGGGGTAGGTTTACATTAGATAATACAAAACAATGGAGACGAAAAGTAACGTAAAATCCAACCTTGCGCCCTTGAGCTAAGTCTTACCACACCACACCACAAGTCAAATCAAACAGCATTTTATTAAAGTAATATTTTAGTATTTTGTGCTGTTAAAATAAAACTTAAGCGTGACAGTTGAACGCACGTGGTAAGGTACAATGGGGTTATGTAATTTGAGAAAACTGATGTTTCCATCATTCCACAAAGATCTGCTCTATTTTCTAGATTTATATGTAAATGTTTGTAAAAATATTCTGGACACTGAACTTAAGCTTGACAGTAATTTTCAGAGTTAGACCTACACAAACGCTGAATGTAGTATATGGGTTAACACTGTACGCGCGGGGTAAGGTACAGCACTAGAGTGATGGAATTTGGGCATACTGATGTTTTTATCCTTTCAGAAAGATCCGGTCTAGTTTTCAGATATTTGTACAGTAAAACCAGTGAATAGTGAACATTTTTTGCCGAGAAAAAACGTTTACTGTTGGTTGGTGTTCACCAAGGACTTGCCTTCGCGGTATTTTGCTGTATTATATAGGGACCAGTTATTAAACAAGGCTAAGAACCGAGAAGGGAATAATCGATTCAATTTTTATTTTCTACCCATGCTAATCCATGACACTTGAGCTTTAAGGTCTTGTTTTGTTAAGTGTGATATATAGTGACTTATTTTACACTGACTGTCATCTAAATGGTTCATGCTTTTCTTGTTAAATTTCAATCTCCTTATAATTTTTTATAATCAAGATGATCCTTTACATAGTTGAATCCTTGACACATTGGACTCAGTTAAAGGACGTAATTGGATCAAAGGACATGACAGAGTCATTATGTTTTTTATTTCGATTTGTTTTTTAAATTGATTGGGATCAGAAAAAATGATTTGGGACTTAGCAGATAGAAATAATAATATATTATCTTAATTAAAGCAATCAAGAAAGGCTAGACAATTTTCATGTACTACATAAAACAGAGCTTATTAAGAATTATAAGTCACACCTGTTTCAATAAAAGAAAAGATCAAACTCCCAAATTGACCCTTTAATTATTTTTGACAGGTAAAATTAACATTAACTGCTTAACTCTGATGAGGCAGCTGCAGAAAATCCGCGAGAAATCGTATATCTAATCCAATCTTCACTAGAGACAGGATAATTCTATTGATTTTGCCAAGATTTTATGTTCACTGTTCACAGTAGGTAGGTGTTCACTATAGGATTGTACTTTAACATGGGAGTCAATAGATGAAAAGGGTTTTGCCGAAAAAATGTTCGCTGTTGATAGGTATTCATAGTTACACCTAATTATACCCCTTGTTTTCATGCAATAAAAACCAGAAAGAGAAGATCCTCTTTTGAGTAAATGGGTTCAATATTTTGAAAAAAAGATTAAGAATTAACTTAAAAATAATACATCGTGTAAATGAGAAAAGAAGAGGCTCGATAGAGAGAGCTTTTTAGATGAGTACAACTTTTTTATTTTCTACACGATCATTATGGAATTTTCAGACAATATCGGAGGTGTGATGAATTTTTATATTCTAAAATATTATTGTTGAATTATGAAAAACGCATTTTGTAGAACTTTTTTGGCGAAGCGATGAAATTCCATCTTATATTTTGTACCGTTTTTCAGTGCGTAAATAGAATGACTTAACGTTTTTTAAGCAGCAAAATAACATATATCGTAACCACATAATAAAGCAAAGTCTTATTTTCTGTAAAGAAATCGTGATTCGATCCATGAGAAGTATGTCTTAAAATTGATGAGAAAAATGGTTACATTTTTTCAACATTTTTGAGCGATCTCTTTAGTAGAATTTTACTTGTGTTAGATAGAGGTCGTCTCGCAAAACCATTATGCGCAATGTTCTCTTAAAATTGATTATCTTTGGAAATGATTCACTCGACGAAAATTAGATGTCGTTGCCATGTCGTCTATGGATGGTCTATTTTTCTTAAGTAATTCCAAGGCCGAGAGAAATACCCCGAACGTACCGCGTTCGTAATTTCAATGTTTTCTGCGTTCGGCCTTTTATCGTAAACTGTTCTATCATCATTGATGAAAAAGAAGGGTGCGCGAACTTTGAATTTATTCAGTGTGGGGGTTACCCTTCCCCCATTTGACATGAAGGCCAGAGCTGAATATGACAGCACATGTTAGTGAATGATTGGTAAGTGAAAACAATCTATCTTTATAACGGAATATATTCCCTATAGTTAAGTGGATTTCTGGTCACGAAACAAATAAATACTAGATATAGTCTGATAGTAACAGTTCAAACAAAGCTTGTCCCCGTCTGTTTTGATTGTTTGACCGGGAAACCAATGGGGTCTTCTCATCTGCATAATCAAGTCACCTTATATCGCACTATTAGAGCTGGGTAACTGGTAAGCAGAAAACACAATCGCCACTTCAAGTACATTTCACTGTTTTTTCTTGCGCTTTTTTCTTAGCTCTCATTTATGTATCATACGTTTAGTCAATAAATTTTTTGTAGCTGAGCTAACGATTTGAACGGATTGCAATGAAATCACCTTTATGCGGTCTGGCTACGTACGGCCTGTTGATTTCTACGGGGACCGCAGAAATTAACAAATATTGTAACTCCGAGTTATAAAATCTACGGCTTCCCTTCACTGATATAATTGATCTGCGGTCTACTTACGGCCACTGTGCGACAAATGTGACTGGGGAGTAAATTGATCTGCGGTTGACGTAGTTCGCCTTTCAAGTTAAGTATTGAGATTTCTATTCTAACCTTCACTTAAGAAACATAACATTAACTAGGATGTGGCTCTGCGGCTGCTGCAGAAAAACTGAGTGTATTATTTACATACAATAATGTTATCGTATATACATGCTGGTTGCCAAAATGTGGCTCTGCGGCTATGTCGCCGCTGGACAATATACAAAAATGTTTATAATGGACAATTGATAAGCTTTCTCGATAATGTAGTAATAACAAATCGCATTTCTAAATTAAAAACTTTCCGACCACCTGTAAAACCTTTTCTATCTTTAGCATCACAAATTCATTAATGCCCATTATTATTCTGTTGAGAACATGATGCTAAAAATCTTTGAAATCCTAAACAATTGAGGTTATAAGGAAAAATGTTTGTCCGAAAAATTTTCATAAACATTTTAAAGACATAGACTTAGTTTATCTCGCCGGTTAGAGCCTAAGTGATCTTATTCACTAATACATACACCG